CTGCTCCTGCAGAGTGTGAACTGCTCCTGCAGAGTGTGAACTGCTCCCGCAGAGTGTGAACTGCTCCCGCAGAGTGTGAACTGCTCCTGCAGTGTGTACTGCTCCTGCAGAGTGTGTACTGCTCCTGCAGAGTGTGAACTGTTCCCGCAGAGTGTGTACTGCTCCCGCAGAGTGTGAACTGTTCCCGCAGAGTGTGAACTGTTCCCGCAGAGTGTGAACTGCTCCTGCAGAGTGTGAACTGTTCCCGCAGAGTGTGAACTGCTCCCGCAGAGTGTGAACTGCTCCCGCAGAGTGTGAACTATTCCCACAGAGTGTGAACTGTTCCCGCAGAGTGTGAAATGCTCCTGCAGAGTGTGTACTGCTCCTACAGAGAACCTAGGTTCAGTCACCAGCACCCATACCAGGCAGCTCACAGCTGTCTCTAACTGCATGCAGTCCCAGATCATCAGGTGTGTCTGTTGTTCTCAGGACAGGGTCTCCTGCCCCAGGCTCAGGCTGGCCTTGAACTCTTGGTGATCCCCATACTTCAGCTTCCTGAATGCTAGCATTACAGGTATCAGCTACCAAGCTAGGCAGTGTATGTGTTTTTAAATTTTAAAGATGATGCAGTTTGTCTTCATGGAGTTTTAATTTTCAACTAGCAATGCAGAAGTTAGAGCCAAGCTCTCACGAAGTCTGGACTTCACTGATGTGAACTGACTATGTCTTTGTTACAAGACTGTTCACATGTTTATCATTTTAAATATCTTTTGTTTTCTTGAGACAAGGTCTTACTCTGAAGCTCAGGCTGTCCTAAAACTTTCTGCAGAGTCCAAGCTTGTCTCAACTAATGGCAATCCTTCTGCCTCAGCCTCCCATGCGCTGGGATCGCTCTCTACAAAGGTTCATCTTCCAGCTATAGCTAGCATAATGTGTAAGAGGAGAATAACTAAGCCAGACGGTGGTGGTGCACACCTTTAATCCCAGCACTCGGGAAGCAGAGGCAGGTGGATCTCTGTGAGTTCGAGGCCAGCCTGGTCTACAAGAGCTAGTTCCAGGACAGACTCCAAAGCTACAGAGAAACCCTGTCTCGAAAAACAAACAAAAAAAAAAGAATAACTACCTGACATGCTCTCCAAGGGACAACACTGGCTCCTGTCCCCAAATAATCTTCACATGTCATGGTGGTTTTTACACTGGTAACTGAGGACCCCAGAGGAACTGTTCCTTGGTTTCCAAGTGTGCTGCTGATGTCAGAACCCAAGTGTGCGCTCTGATGGGTGGTACAGACATCTACTACCAAAACCTACACTGTATACAGATTTGGAGCACAGGAGGAAAGAGCAGTCACAGTGAACGCCTGGACAAGGTCTGGACCCTGCACAGGCTGACAATAATGGCCCTTTGTAGGGGAATTTCTGACAAGAAATTTGGTGGAGGCAAATTCCAAGTCAGCCCCAAGATCTCCCAGATATACACACTTCCAGTTATTCAAACATCAGTCTAGACCAGTGGGTCTCAACCTGTGGGTCATGACCCCTTTGGAGATTGAGTAACTCTTTCACAGGGGTCACCTAAGGTCATGGGAAGACATATCTACATTAAAATTCATAACAGTAGCAAAATTAGTTATGCAGTAGCAACAAAAGTTTTATATTGGGGCGGGGGCAGGGCTCACCACAACCGGAGGAACTGTAGCAAAGGATTGCAGCCTTAGAAAGGTTGAGAACCACTGGTCTAGATGCTTCATGAAGGGATTTTACAGATGGAATTGAGGTCCCAAGTCAGTCTACTCTGAGATAAGATCCAACGGGGCTTAGCCTAATCACTAGACCTGGAGGCCCAAAATGAGTGCAAGATTTGAAACATGAGCGGGTCGGGTACATGGCAGGTTTTGCCGACGGAAGAGGGACCAAGAGGTACATGCTACAGGTGGCCTCTTGGAGCCGAGAGTAGGTGGGCTGGCAGCCAGAGAGGAAACAAGAACTTCTTCCTGCCTACAGCTGCAGGGAACATGGTTCAGCCAACAAGCTGAAGGCATGTGGGAGTGGATTATTCCCCAGAGACTCCAGAAGGCAATACAGCCTGCACTTGTGACCCTTGGGTTGCTCTGTGAACATTTCTAACCATGGAGTTTGTAACAGCATTATAGAAAACTGTGTGGTTCCCTGTCCCTGTCCAAGGGGAAAACAAACAAACCTCTTTAGGGCATGTTTAACTGCTCGGTGAAGTAAAGCCAGTTAGGTACGGTGCTATAACTGTTTGGACCTGAAAGGTTCTCCAAGTTCCATGTGCTGAAAGCCCGCTCACCAGACTATGGTGCTGCTTTTAGGGGGCGAGGCCTCACCAGAAGACATTAGAGCTCTGAAGGGAACTGAGGGTCCTTGCCTCCTTTTCCTTTGACTTTTTTCAAAAACCAAACAACAGTAACAAAACAGGGTCTCATTTCATTGCCCTGCCTGTCCTGGAACTCACTACGTGGGCCAGGCTGGCCTCTAACTCACAGAGACCTGCCTGCTGCTGTCTCCCAAGTGCTGGGATTAAAGGCGCGCTTGTCTTTCTCTGCTTCTTGACCACTGTAAAATGAACAGGACGTCTCTGCTGTGCAATTTTGTAAGGTAAACTGTGCTGTCAAAGAACCAAAGAAATGGGACCAAGCAACCGCTGGCTAAAAGCTTGGAAGCCGGGAGCCAACACAAATCTCGTGCTTTTGGATGCATGTTGTCAAGACAACGGACAGCTGGCTAATCCAGCCTGCAAAGCAGAAATCAGCACGGAAGTGAGGAGGGCTGCCGTGCTGCTTGCCTCTGTGAGTTGCTGCCGCAGTTGCTCCTCTGTGAGGCCCAGTGATCGCATCCCTCGGGCCCGGCAGGCAGACTGGAGCTCTGACACACTCAGAGCCTTCACCCCTTCTGTGGCGATTATCTGCAAGACGTGGAAGAACAGGCTTAGATCTTTGGCTTTCAATTTTACTCAATGCCTATATTTCAGAAAAATCGACAGAAACCCCAGATCTGATGCTTTGGCCCTTTGCCACCAACACTGACTGCTGCAGACCAGCAACTTAGGAAGGTAGCAATTGAGATGCAAGGATAGTGTTGATGGGCAGCAATAAAGATAGTTATATATCCGCCCCCAACATTTTATCAGGAAAGTACTTCCTGTCTTGGTTTGGATTTTGCCTAGTTGTAACATCTACTTTTCCTTTTTTTTTCTTTTTAAAGATTTATTTATTATATATGCAGTATTCTGCCTGTATGTATGCCTTCAGGCCAGAAGAGGGCTCCAGATCTCACTACACTTGGTTGTAGTAGCACCAACCAAGTGTAGAGCCACCATGTGGGTGCTGGGAATTGAAGAGTAGCCCTTGCCATCTTGTTCCAGCGCCTTTTTTTTTTTTTTTTTTGGCTTTTCAAGACTCGGATTCTCTGTGTAGCCCTTGGCTGTCCTGGAACCCACTCTGTAGACCAGGCTGGCCTCGAACTCATAGAAATCCGCCTGCCTCTGCCTCCTGAGTGCTGGGATTAAAGGCGTGCGCCACCACTGCCCGGCTCTATTCTGCCGTGAAAAGCTTTCACACACCGTTTGCCACGAGTCTCAGAGCTGTCTCCCTGTCACCAACCCAGGATGACCTGAGTCCTCTGGCCCACAACACTGATAAGTAACAGTTTCCACATGTGACCCAAAACTACAGTTCTTCTGGGACCAGTACTGTTTACAACAAAGCTCTGAAAGCAACACCCACAATCTAATAGGGCAACGTGCTCGTGTCTTCTCTGTTTTGGGAAACCTGCTCCCCCAGCAGACTAATACAACAGCTGATTTTGATTCAGCAAACATTCTTTCCACGTTTTAAAGGAGCCTAATTAGAAGTTATACCCCAAATGGTGCCTTCTGCAAGCTGGCTTGCCTTGGTTTCCCTCCTACCATTGTGCTCTGCCACCTTGTTGTTTTAACTAGACTAACTCACCCAGCAGAATATTAACTTTGGCACCAGTTCCTGTGCTGGAGAATAGAGGTAGGTGTGTGTGTGTGTGTGTGTGTGTGTGTGTGTCTGAGGGCAGAATGCTGCCAAGAAACCAGAGCTGATATTTCCTTCCCAGCAGGTGCTAACTACTTCAGATTAGTCCCAGCTAATACATCCAGATTACTGGCTGCTTACGACAGCCTTTTCAGGAAGACAGATCCTCATACAACAAACAAATACTGAAATGAGTAGTGAAATTGGAATTTGTCATAGTGATGGCCTTTTAAAGCATTCGTTTTGCCAGAACCAACAGAAAACAGCGCATTTCACAAAGGTGCCCTCGGATGCCTCCGGACCCCCATTTGCCGAGCGCAGGCTCTTACTTCGTCATCTGCTTTTATAGACTTCAGTGTCATCAGGAGCTGGAAGCGGAGCAGATTGTTGGTTCCGAAGGTCTGCAGCTCCAGCAGCTTGCACAGGGCGACCAGCTGGGGTCGATCCAAGTGCTCCAGGGGTAACTGATCCTCGAAGAGCTTAGAGAAGCGAGCAATCTCCTTCGTGCTGGGCTTGTGGCCTGTCTGGACCTGGGCAATGGGACAAAGGCCAATTAAAAGGAGTTTCCTACTTTGCATAAACCTCCTAATAGACTATGTGAGGGAGATGGCAAAGCAGTTAGAGACTTTATGTATTGTATGGGTTCATTGGGAATAAAAAAAAAATGTCTAGTGGAGAACTGGGTTCAGTGGGAACCGGGCACCTGCCGTGCGTGCATGCCAGGTTCAATGCCTAGTCTAACCCCACCCCCCAACAAAGCTCTTTTTAGAATCAAGCTCAGTCACTAGAAAAATCTTGAGTATTTCTAAAGTTTATACTGATCTTTCTTTCCATGATGATCACTTTAAGGTGGCCTTTGCTGCTGCTGTTTTGCAAACTACTCTAAGTGTTTAAAATGTTGTATATTTATAATTTAGATATGACGCATTTCAAAGACTCTGAACACTCTCAGTGATCCATGGTGACATGCTTCTTCTGTAATTCCAGCCCAGATGTCGCTGACCTACTGCGCGAGCCCCTGACACCTGTTTTACATAGGAGAAAAGCTGGGAAGAGGCATCTCCCAACTTGGCTCGGTTTCTCTTTGCCATTTCTGTCATTGTCTCTTGAAGGAATTTTGCTAGTTCCAGTTTTGCGGCCATCTTCTTTCTTTGTTTTTCTTCCTTAAGAGAAGAGGAAAAAGTTAATCACAGTGCAGGTTGGCAATGACGAGAGAAATGACTACCTCCCTGCTACTGGGCATCCCCACCACACACATCACATTAACACTATTACCAGGCCCGGTTAAGTTTGTAAGAACCCAACCACTGTAAAGGGGCTTCTATTTAACCTGTCTCCTTAATCTTGCATTTAATTCTCATTAAAACAATGATACTAAGCCCCAATGAAAGGCTCTCTTATTAGATAAGTCACTACCTCCTAACCTCATCTAGGCTGCTACTTAAGCCAAACTCTAGTAGAAAGCTCCAGATTTTGCTCTACAAGGAAACTAACTCAATGCTAATCATCTTTACAGTTTAAATAGAAAATATGCAATTATAATACACTGCATTGTGTGCTGTAACAGATTTGAAAACAGCACTATACAGAAGAGATTAGATATACATTCTTTTTGTTATTGTTGTTTGTTTTGTTTTGTTTAAGACAGGGTCTCTATAGATCCCTGACTGTCCCAGAACTCACTATGTAGACCAGGCTGGCCTCAAACACATAAAAATCCACCTGCCTCTGCTACCTGAGTGCTGAGATTAAAGGTGTGTACCACCATGCCTGATTTAACGTACATTCTTTTTTTTTTTTAAAAAAAAGATTGATTTATTATATATACAGTGTTCTGCCTGTATGTCTGCCTGGAGGCCAGACCTCATTATGGTTGTGAGCCACCATGTGGTTGCTGGGAATTGGACTCAGGACCTCTGGAAGAGCTGCCAGTGCTCGTTAACTGCTGAGCCACCTCTTCAGCTCCTTAATGTACATTCTTAAGACACTGTTGGTTAGTTGTTGCAAATCCTCATTCGTCATCAGAAATACAGTGGTTATTTTTGAAATAACCATGGTCAAAATGCTGGGCACAGGGGAGACAGAAGCGGATATAGTTAAGTCACTTATTCAAGAACATTATCATTAGAATGCTGTGAGTTGTTTCTAGATCCTGATTATTTTAAATGTAAGTAAATTAAGACCTGCAATTCCAGCAGCTTGCAAAGGGCATCCAGCTAGAGTTTAAGTAAATTAAACCATCTTCAGGCAGTTAAACATTATAGTTTGATTTTCCACTTTAATCTCAAATTAAAGTCTAGGGGTACAGCTCAGTGGAAGAATGCTTGCCAAGAATGCATGAGACCCTGAAGTCTATTCCTAATATCACTAGAAGAAAACAATAAAGGAGCCAAATGTGGTGGCGCACACCTTTAATCCCAGCACTCAGGAGCCAGAGGCAGGAGGATCTCTGTGAGTTTGTCAATTTGTTCTATATAAGGACTTCCAGGCCAGCCAGGGCTGCACGGAGATGACCCTGTCTCAAACAAAACAAAACAAAGCACAACACAAGCACAGAAAACGAACTTTATCTCAGATTTATCTTCCAGTCTCCATTCTTATTGTCAGCCCCGTGATTTCAGGTCTGCTTATTTCCTTCTCCCGGCTCCGTCCCGTTCAGTTCTGCCAGCAAAACTATTTTCCTAAAATATAGCTCTGATCATGTCACCCATTACTACTTCAGGTTTTAGCTTCTCTTCACCACAGTCAAAGGCAAAGTTCAAATTCCTGAGCGTGGGCGATGCTTTGCAGCCTGACATTCCTTTTGTCTGTCTCCTGCTACTGAATCCTTGTCCAGCCTTCTCCCAGACTTACAGATCGTGGTAAACGCTCACCCTTTCTCTGAACCTCAGTTCCAAAATTCCTTCCATGAAACATTTTCTTGTTCTTTACACTGCATTTTCCAGTCTTACAGATGGACAGATTTTTTGTCCCTTAGGAGCACTTTATGACACTGTCTAGTAGAGACACAATGACGAAAGGACGGATGGACTTCTTTTCTAGCCCAACCCCTCTGCAGTCACTAAGACATAAGACACCTTCCCTAGTTTACATCTCACAAGTCCTGAGGATAAACCATACCTAGGCTCATTAAATAAATAACAGTAGATGTTTGTCTTCTTTATTATTTAAAATAAACCTTTTAAGATATTTATTTTTATTTTATGATTATTTTGCCTGCATGTATGCATGTCTGTCCACAGTGGCAGAAGGCTTTGGATCCCCTGGAACTGGAGTTAGGGATGGTTGTGAGCCACCATGTGGGTGCTGGGAATTGAACCTGGGCCTCTGCAAGAGCAGCCAGTTCTCTTAAACTCTGAGCTATCTCTTCAGCTCCTTTATTATTTTTTATTTTTTGGAACTCAATATGTAAACCAGGTTGACACTGAACTTACAGCTCCCTTTCTTCCTTTCTTTCTCCATCTCTTCTTTCTCTCTCTCTCTTTCTAGCAGTTAAAATAAAACAGAGTGTAATGATGCACACCTTTAATCCAGCACTTGGGAGGCAGAGGCAGGAGGATCTCTGTGAATTTACAGGATAGCCTGGTCTACAGAGTGAGTTCCAGGACAGTCAGAGCTACATAGTGAGACCCTCTCTCAAAAATACCCAAAACAAACAAATTAATAAAATATAGTAGAGATAGAACATTCAATAAACAGTAACAGGAAATTTAGATATTTACATATAAAAATCCTGATACTGATATTACAAACTTTTATAATATCAAATTTTCATAATAAAACAAACTGGATTATACAAGCAAAGACAAAATACAAAACTATAAAAATCTTAGAAAAAAGTAATAGAAAAGTCTAACTTGGGGCTGATGAAATGGCTCAGGACTTAAAAGCACTGATTTCCAGAGGACCCGGGTTCAGTTCCTAGCACCTACATTACCCTCTGTAACTCCAGTTCCAGGAGGTCCAATGCCCTCTCCTGGCCTCCTCAGATACCAGTCAAGCATGTGATGCACAAACATACATGCAGACCAAACACCTATGCACATAAAATCTAAGTGACCTTGGATTTGTGAACCAGCTTCCAGCTGTTGCTCCGAAGGCATGGCCATTTAGAGTGTTTATGAAAAGATGAACCACATTTCTCTATCACTGGTCAAGACCTGGGATCCATTCACAGCAATGGAAAGAAAAAAAATGCTAGCACCATTTCCAAAAATAGGGGGAAAAATAAGGCACAGACTAGGAGAAAATATTTACAAAGTATATATTTGATAAAGGACTTGTATATAAATACACAGAGAACTCAAAACAACAATAAGAAACAAAATACCCAATTACAAAGTGGGCAGAAAGGAGCTTTGGAGATGGCTCAGTGGGTAAAGTTCTTGCTCATTCAGACATGGGGTCCAGAGTTCCACCTGCCTGTAGTCCTACTCTATGGGACACAGGAGCAAACTGGCCAGCTATACTAGCCAAATCAGTGAGCTGTGGGCTTTAAGTGAGAGACCCTGACTCAATATACAAAGTCTCAGAGCTGATTATCTATGTATCTATTTATCTGTCTGTCTGTCTATCTAATCTATAGATATCAGAACGTTATATAAGGTGGGTACGCTTGCATGAACAAATGCCTATCCACACCACACCACACACCAATAGCGGGCAAAATCAACATACATTCCCTCAGCCAGGTGGTGGTGGCACATGCCTTTAATCCCAGCAACTCACAATAAAATAAGAAAAGGCCACCTTCCAGCACTCAGGGAGGCAGAGACAGGTGGATCTCTGTGAGTTCGAGGAGGTCGGGCTGAGATACACAAAGAAACCCTGTCTCGAAAAACCAAACCAAACAAAACCAAACAAAAGAAAAAAAAACCATACATCCCCTCAAAGAAGTTTTAGCAATGCCAAAGCAGCTATCCTCTACACACCTATTAGAATGGTTAATATCCAGAGTACAGTGTCAAATGCTGGGGAAGACAGGAATGGCATGCTTGGGTAGAATGCAGAATGCATGGCTGCTCTGCCGTCCAGCAAATTTTTACAATGCTAGATACAGTGTTACTGCGTGCAACCACTCTTGCTCAAGTTAAAAAAAAAATCCCTAAACACAAATATTCATAGCATTTTTACTTATACCTGCCCAAATTAGAACCAATGAATTTCCAAAAGATGAATGGATTTAAAAAACACTTGCACATTCATAAATAGAATTAAAATTTTTTCATAGATCTTCATTATTAATTTTTTATGCATTGGATTTCCAAATTCGGAGTTATAGGAAATTGTGAGGTGCTACATGGTGCTGAGAACTGAAACAGGTTCCCCTGCTGAGAGCAGAAAGTGCTCTAACCACTGAGCCACCTCTAGGCCCTCGTGCAGGATCTGATAAGTGCGTACTGCTAAGTGGAAGAATCCAGTCCAGAAAGGCCGCACAGTGTGTGATTCAAATTACAGGGCATTCTGGAAAAGGCAGAACTACAGAGTGAAAACATCTGCAGTTGCCGACTCAGAGACACACAGTAGGTGGAACAGGTAGGGGACTCAGAGTTTCAGAATGGCGAGACTACTCCGCACGACACTGTGAGGGTGGGCAGGGCGGGCCGGTGCTGCGGAGCTGACAGCGCTGCGTACCACAAAGTGTGAGCCCCAGCGTCAAGCATGGGCTTTCGTTAATAACAGCGTATGATGTATTAACATCAGTTCCCCAGTTCTGACATGCACAGCCCATGGGAAACGGGTGCGGTATGAGTGGTCCGTGGCAAGTCTGTACTTTCTGCCTGGTTTTTCTGGAAACCTACAAAACTGCTCTAAAAACGAAAGTCTATTCATCTTTTTAAAAAAGGTTTTAAAATCCTGTATACCTTTTTGGATTCACTTTCGAAAGTTGACGGCAACATGTCTGGGAAGAGCTTCAGAAACACTGGTATCAGGAACTCCATAAAAGGTACAATTATGAACACCATAAACGGAACCAAGCGGAAGACATCAGCGCACGTTCTCAAAAGCTGAAGAGACAAACGCAGGAGCAATATTATACATCCAGGGCATGCCCAAGCCAAGCAAGAGCGTCCAAGCAGAACACAGCCTGTCTTTAAGGTTTTCTACAGCTGGAAAGGGCAAGTCTCTCCTTCAGTGAAGCTCTGAAGGAGCGTTTATGGACTACCCTCGGAGAAACTGATGACAATCAATATGCATTAGTGGCATCTCTTAAGGGTCCACATTTTGATAACACAGTATTAGCTAAAATTAATTTTTCCTTTTTGAGAGGAGGGGTTTTACTCTGCTGCCCAGGCCGATCTAAGACTCCTGGGCTCAACTGATCCTCCCCCCTCAGTGTTCCCAGTACCCATGATTAATAGTATGTTCCAATGCACTTAGCTTTAAAATTTGTTTTTTAAATGCATATATATATATTTAATATATTAACAGCATTAATATTAGGTTAGGGTTAGGTTACCTTACAAGACAGAGTTTCTCTATGTAGCCCTGTCCTGGAACTCACTCTGCAGACCAGGCTGGCCTTGAACTCATCCTCCTGCCTCTGCCTCCAATTAAAGGATTGAGATTAAAGGTGTGTGCCACCACAGCCTGGCTTATTTTTCTAATATACAAAAATTTCAAGCCTCTCAAGTCCTTGAAGAGTTTAAAAAAAAAAAACCCACACAATTAGCTAGAGAGATGGCTCAACAGTTAAGAGCACTTGCTATTCTTCCAGAGGACACGAGTTCGGTTCCCAGCATCCACACCAGGTGGCTCACCATTGCTCCAGGGGAGCAGATGCCTGTGGCTTCTGCAGACACCTGTACTTGCATGCACATGCCCACCAGCAGACACACACTTGTACACACCTTAAAATAATAAAAATGAATCCGAAAAAAACCTCACAACTCTGTAGGCAGATATTCCAGCCCGTCGGAGACAAGGTAAGATGAGAACGAAACAAGCTGTCTGGGGCTGGGAGCGTCTGCTCAGATGCTTAAAGAAGAACCCTGGCGTGGCACGAACCTTTGGTTTCTGATCAGTAGCTATAATTTCCACCTTAGGGTGGGGAGCACTCTACATCAAAGCCAGGGCCTCGAGTATCATCAGGAAGTTACCTAAGGATTTTTACGGTGAAGCTTTACTTCGTTCTAATTTTATGTTTTCCATTTCAAATAGGATTCTTGCCTACCCTTCGCCTCTCTCGTCTCGTTAGCGCCTGTCCATGCAGTAGCCTCCAAACTATTCTGGCAGCAACTTTGGTGTCGATCCAAAGTAAGTAGAATCCATTGTAATAATATTTGAGTTCGTGCATGATTTTTTGTCTAAAAGATTGCCTTTCTTGTGCAGTCTCTCTCTCCGCTTCTCTGGGAGGCTGAGGGCTTGCTGGCTTAGGTTTTCCTGGGGTTTGCTCCGGCTGAGGTTTACTAGGGATATTCTGTAGCCAGCACGTTGTGTGTAGTTTTTGTGTGAGTCTAGTTCGTAAAGGGTGGACGTGAGTACTTGGTAGACTGGGACAGGAGTACTTCCTGCTTCCGTAGGTCGTACGGAAATGAGAATCTGGCAAGTGGAGAAACGCAAGTGATGGGGAGTGGGAGCAGGAAGGATAGACAAAATGGCTGGGCAATCTGGAAAAAAGAACAGTATTCTTTCAGTGAGATGTATCATTACAAAAACCCAATAAGCCTGTAAACAACTGTTGTTTAATAATGATTGAAATATAATTGTATGTGTGTATGTACTTGCCTGTTCCTGGGTATTAACCTAGGACCTTACACATCCTAAGAATGTACTGTATCTTTGAGCTCCAACCCCTACTCCTCAGCCAGAAATACAACTTTGTTTCTTTTTTTGTTTGCTTGTTTTTTGTTTTTTGAGACAGGGTTTCTCTATGTAGCTTTTGAGCCTGTCCTCGAACTTGCTCTGTAGACCAGGCTGGTCCTGAACTCATAGAGATCTGCCTGCCTCTTCCTTCCAAGTGCTGGGTTAAAGGTGTGTGTCACTAAGAAGACAGTACTAGCAACCAAAAGTAGTTCACCTATACTAGGTCAAGTGTTCAGCCACTGAACTGTACCTCAACCCATAGAACTTAAACAGCTGAACTGTGCTCAATTATTAAACATCTCCTTAGAAAAAATATTAATAGAATGGTAATTTGCTATAGCAAGTTAGAAATTATGTAACTATTACTTTAAATATTTAGGGGCCAGTGAGATAGTCCAAGGGTATTGAACCCTGGTTAGCTTGAAGAATAGAACTGACTCCTACAAGTTGTCCTGTGATGACCAAACGGGTGCCAGGGGTATGCTCTCCCCAGGAATTAAATAACCAAAAACTTAAAACATCTTATTTGAAAAAAAAATCTATTTGAAAACATATTTCTGCAGGGATGATGTTTGATAGTACTGTCTCTATCTACTCTCATAAAGCAGATGATTTGACTTTGCTATTAGCTACTTTAGTAATAACAAAGAATGTTTTAATGAAGTAACTTCATAGTCCCTGCGAGAATGAGACAATTATGTAACATTGCTTTGTCCATGTGTCTGTGGACTTCCTCAAAGTAATGAAACATAATTACCCTAAAATCCCTCAAGAGCACTTAAAAGTAGGGATTAGAATTGAGCACCCCCATCAATACTGAAGTTAAACCAGAACATAAGATCTTAAAAACAAAACACATCCAAATAAAGCTACAGGCATCTAGCCAGTCATAGAGTGGCAATATTCCTTAATCCCAGCACTAGGGAGGCAGAAGCAGGCGGATGTCTGTGAGTTTGAGGCCACCTTGGTCTACAGAGTGAGTTCTAGGGCAGCCAGAGATACAAAGTGAGATCCTGTCTTGCAAAACAACAACAACAGAAGAAAAAAAAAAAGGAAAAAAGAAAGCTATTGACAAAGAGTTGGTTGGTTTTTGTTTTTGGCTAAAAGATGTCTTTTTCCCATTCTTTATTTTTATTTATTTATTTATTTATCTTTTTTTTTTTTTTGAGACAGGGTTTCTCTGTAGTTTTTGGTGCCTGTCCTGGAACTAGCTCTTGTAGACCAGGCTGGGCCTCAAACTCACAGAGATCCGCCTGCCTCTGCCTCCCAAGTGCTGGGATTAAAGGCGTGCGCCACCACCGCCGGGCCTTTTCCCATTCTTTAATCAAATGTTTTGAAACATAACAATAGATATACTCTTTAAATGGCCAAAAGAGAAAATACACAATGAATGCAGTAGTATTCTGAATACATGAGTAACAAGAGACAAGAGCCCTGGCCTGAGCTTCTTCATGAGCCGATTTCCTCCTCCTACAACTGAGGTCCTCATGTAATATTCCATAACAGAAATGCCACTCTAAACTATTTCATTGATTTTCCCTCTATAACACATCTACAGAATTGCTTTAAAGTAGTTTAAATTTAACTATGAACTCCCTAAGGGTGTATTTAAAATTCAGCGAGGTTTTGTGAACTCTGCCAAACCTTCTGCTGGTTTCTTTTGTCTTTTTTTGAGACAGGGTCTCAATATATAGTCCTGACTGGCCTCAAACTCACAGAGATCAGCCTGCCTCTGCCTCCTGAGTGCTGGGATTAAAGGCACGTGTCACGACATTTGGCCAGAAGCCAATCCTTTTACACACATTATTTTCCATAGAGATGCATGAATTCATATACATATTTGTGGGAAATTCTGAACCTTACCTTGTCCACAACATAGCTAAGAATGAATTATAACTGTAGAAGGCCATATTTATTTTTTGTTTTAACTAGCCAACAAAGAGACCTAGGCAAAAGAAGTAAATAATTTAGTATTTTAAAAAGGCATCAATTAAACAGCAGAATTTAGTTTTGTTAAACTAATGCAAGTGGAAATTTGAGCATTCAAAGTGCAAAAGTTCCTTCAAGCTCATTTCCAACAGTCATGGTAGTAGCTCTGGATGTAAAAACGGTACATTTGCGATCCCAAAACACAGAAAAGGGTTGGTTCTAAGAAGGTGCTCGCGAAGACGACATGGCCTCCAAAGGCTTTTTTATTTCTGGTCAATAGTGTCTAGTAATCTGCTGCGACGGTTAAAAGGAGAAAGACATCTTTATCTGTAACCAGAAAATACAAGCAGAGAGTAAACATCCTGCATTCATTTTCGGTCCGTTTCCCATACTGTTTGGCCAAGCTACAGTCAACCCAAAAGTCTAAAAGGTATTCACCCATGTCATGCGAGGTTACACATCATTAGAGATAGGTACCATGGCACATGGTACCTCTAATGGTTCAAATGCAGATGAAAACGGATCCCATTCAAGTGTTACTGAATCTCGGGATTCAGTACCTGTAACTAAAACCGTTCTCCACCCTGAGTCGCTTTTCAGCTACTGGCAGCAACTCTGCTCTATCGCAATCGCGCTGAGAGGAGGTTCCCCCTTTAACTCCCCCCCCCCCTCCACCCCGCCCCCGATCCCACGAAAACCTCAACCCCAAGGCTACCGTCGCAAACCCGGCTCAGCACCTCGGAAACCAGCCCCACCGCGGTTAGCTCTCCTCCGGAGGGGGGCCGGGTCCGCTGCAGAGGCTTCCCAGCCCCGGATCGCGGTCTACGGACCACTCCCAGGCAGTCGGCCCGGCGTTTCGGGGAGCCCCAAGCCCAGCGCTACCGGGTTCTCTGAACCCCGCCCTCGCCGCACCGGTGCAAAAGGCGCCCTCGGCTCCCGACCAGCGGCCTCAGAGGATGTGGGGCGGACTGTTGTGGGTTTGGGGATTGCTGGAGTGGGGTTAGGTACACTGAAGGGGCGAATGTCAGCTGGGCGCCAAATCTGACGGGCCGGGTGGGGTGCTGAGGGGTGATGCGGGAGGGAGCGCGAGCTGCCTGCGGGATGATGGGGCCCTCAAACCCTACCTTCCCAATTCCTCCCCGCACCCAAGCTAGAGGGGCCGGAAGCCCAGTCTCCATGGTCCCGCCTCCTGCGCCTCGCCCTGTGACGTCACTATAAGTGACGCTACGACCATCCAATGAGTTCTCAAATTCTGGGAACGGCTCACGTCCTTCACGGTAACAGCGCGGAAGGCAGCAAGGTCCCTGTGAGAGCCCGTGAAGTGACTTGTAGGTTGGACTTAGTTTAGGGAGCGTCTGTACTATAGGGACTAAAACTGCGTTAGTAACGTCTGATAGTCGACTTGGTAACCCATCTCGGAGTCACTAATGACATCGCTTTGATGGTTTTTCCTCTGCCCCTCTGTCCACTCAAACTCTGAAACTACTTAGAGGTCTCTGGTTGGCGGAGGAGGTTGTGAGGTCCGGGTAGCAGAAGGGGCAGCCTTGGAAAGGGAAACATCTCTCTTCTGCAGGGTCGAAGGTTGGAAGGCTGCTGAAATCGTCATATGGAATTTAAATTTCACTAAAGAAATTGGTTTCTTAATGTTGTCGCTTATTACTTGTTTGTGTAGAAATCTCAACATTTGAAATATATTCTAAAGTAGCTGTTAAATAAGGTAAGCATTGCAGGTTTGGGGAGACTACAGTTCCTAGGGTGGGAGACTAAGCCACCTTTGGAAAGTGAAAGTTCTGAAAGTTTTCGTGTTCCCATTTATTCAGCTTTTCTTGTTTTTTTCATATTTATTTATTTATTTTTCAGAATTTTATGTAGCAGAGGCCAGTCTGGAACTTGATAGCAGAAAATGGTCTTGAGCCCCTGAAATGTCTGCCTGCCTTCTGAGTGCTTGGATTATAATTGTGCACCACTACGACCGACTTGGGCTTTTTAATTTATTTTTATTTAATTTTTTGTTTTTTTGAGACAGGGTTTCTCTGTAGCTTTGAAGCCTGTCCTGGAATTCTGTGGACAGACTAGCCTCAAACTCACAGGTATCCGCCTGTCTCTGCCTCCCGAGTGCTGGGGTTAAAGGCGTGCGCCACTACTACCCAGCTCTAAGTTTTTTGAGACAGGATTTCACTCTGAAGTTCTGGCCGAACAGAACAGGTTATGTATATTTACCTCCCGACTGCTTGGATTTAAAGATGTGTACCACCATGCCTGGCTCAAATTTTTCTCAACCTTTCTCTCTCTGACAAATTTGGTCAAATTATGGGCTGAACAAAATAGAATAGTTTCTGAGGGTCAGGCGCGGTAGCACACCCTTTTATCCCAATACATGAGAGGCAGACAGGCGGATCTCTGTGAGTTCGAGGTCAGCATGATCTACAAAGTGAGTTCCAAGGCAGCCAGGGCTACACAGCAGGATCCTGTTTCAAAAGAACCAAAAAAGGGAAAAGAAAAAAAGAAATGCAGGCCGCTTTTAATCCACAAAAGTATATTTCAACTGAACCGAATGGACTATTTAAAATAAGCAAACGTTTCAGTTTGGCCACTAGGGGTCCCTTTGTGCATGTCCGACAACTTTCCACCTAGGGGTTTAGTTTCACAGTTGATCTTCAAGAATTAAAATTTACTCCTTCCCTGCCTTCAGACAGGGTCTCACTGTGTAGCCCTGGCTGGCCTGGAATTTGCTATGTAAACCTGGCTATCCTCGAACTCACTGGGATCCTCCTGATCACCACACCAGGCTAAAGCTTTCTTTTCTCCCCCTGACAATTCTGATGGATTATAAGCTCTACAATAATAATTTTAATATTGATTTCATAAGTGAACCATTGCATTATCATAAACATGTACTCTTCCAGAAAAGATTAATAAAGGATGCAAAAACATTCCTGTCGTTTCATAGTGAGATATTTAATACTGGAAAAATTCTTATCCATGTATTATATTCACTTAAAAACAAGCACAACAAAATTTACTAAGTATTTGTAAGCCAGCTAAACTGTCCCATACCCAATATTTGAAACACCAAGTAGATTTTCTAGCATGGTCACAAGTCAGCAAGGAATCTAATTCTTAAAAATCAGGAGGGGGATAAGAACGCTTTTTATGAAGCCCATTTCTTTAAAGCAACTCTCTCCAGGCTTGCATATTTTATCAGGCTTAACATTTGGATTTTAGGATAAATGTAAATTTATCTATCTAAAAATTTTTTTTCAGAAGAGAAGCCTCCAAAAGTTTTTACTGCCATAACTCCAAGAAACCTATTCTGCTTCTGTCTTGATGACCTGTTTGCTCATTTGCTATGAAAAGAGTAAGCATGTTCTGAACCTCAGAATATGTTAGATGTTGAAAACATAAAGCATTATGTGTGCCTATTTCCCTCAAATAAATCTCTAAGGAGCATTTATGAGCTCCTTAGATGGGAATCCAAATGCCTGATTGAAAAGCAAGAGCATTATAGGAGGAGGGAAGGGGAAAGGACTGGGAGAGGATCAAGCCAGGTCCATATCACTTCCCTTGCTCACCTTTATTTTACACATTTGCCTATTCATAAATGCAGTTGTGGCTTCTTTAAGTTGTAGTAACACCGAAGGACAGGTTTAAAATAGTGAAAAGCCTGCCCCGGGACTCCTAGACTGTGATCCCAGCCACTGGGTAGGCTGAGGAAAGAGCTCCTGAGTCCAGTTGGAAGCGAGCCGGGGCCACATAGCAAGCCCCATCTCAAAATAAACGAGGAAGAATAAATAGAAAATGGTTACAGATTAGCTGGGACTGGTGGGTTGTGTTTATAATCCCAGTACTCTGGAGGCTGAGGCTGGAACATTGGCATGAGTTCAAGGCCATCTTTGGTTAACAAAACTTTACAGATTAACTGTAAAGTAGGCTAGGGAGGTGGTTCAGTAGAAATGCGGCTTACATGGTGAAAGCCTGGGATCAACTCCAACAAGCGTCCTCTGATGTTAACACATAAAAATTAATTTAAATGTTTTGGTTTTTTTCTAGACAGGTTTTCTCTGTATAACAGCTCTGGCTGTCTAAAATTTGCTTTGTAGACCAGGCTGGCCTGGAACTCAGAAATCCACCTGCCTCTGCTTCCCAAGTGCTGAGATTTAAGGCATGTGCCTCCATGCCAGGCATAATAATAATAATTAAATAATTAAAATAATGTAAAAAATTAATAGTAATGCCCCCAGCCCCAGTGCACTCGGGAAGCAGGCAGAACTATGAGTTTGAGGCTGTCCTGGCCTACATAGAGTTTGGGGATAGCCAGGGACCCTGTCTCAAAAATTTCAATAAATAAGTAAAATCAATTGGATTGTTTCAGTGTTACCCTTAGTATTAGCAGTCACGTTAACAAACATATACACATTTAGTGCCCATTAAAATCTCTGAACTGGTCCGGAGGTGGTGGTACACTGCTTTAATTCCAGCACTCTGGAGGCAGAGGCAGGAAGATCTCTGAGTTTGAGCCCAGCCTGGTCTACAGAGTGCGTTTTAGGAAAGCCAAGGCTGTTACACAGAGAAATCAGGCCTCAGAAAAGCAACAAAACCCCCAAGCTGAGTGGTGGTGGTGCACACCTTTAATCCCAGCACTTGAAAGGCAGAGACAGGTGGATCTCTGTGAGTTCGAGGCCATCCTGCTCTACAAGAGCTCGTTCCAGAACAGGTGCCAAAACTACAGAGAAGCCCTGTCTTGGAAAACACACACACAAAATCAAATCACTGAAATGTACAAATTTTGTAAAATTCTGAGGTGGTGGCCTGGAGAGATGGCTCAGCACTTGTTCTTGCAGAAGACTAGGGTTCGGTACCCAGCACTCACGTGGCTGCTCATAACCACCTATGACAACACCTTTTCCAGCAGATCTGACACCTCTTCTGACCTCCCCGGGTACCTGGCATGCACAAGACGCGGAGATATACACGTGAACCACGCACTCATAAATTCTTCAAAAAAAATTCCAAGATGGTATTTGGAAAGATAAATACATCAGAAATCTCCCGTCATGGTAGCAAATGTGTCTCTGGCGAGAGAGTATGACACTTGGTAGTGATAGGGTTCTGGACTTCTCGGAACAGAGAGCAAGGGCGTGTGTCGGTTTCCTCATCTGATCGCTACGACTGTTCCCGTTTGTAAGTTCACGTCTCTGGGTTGATCGTTCTAAGTAATCACCACCAGGCCCCAGGAAACTAACTACATCTGCACTCCCCTTCGAGACTGTTTATCCGACCCTGTCATTGTTTTATTCCTATTTCCTAGAACGGGGAGGGCTGGAGGTTTGCAGAGCACTGCCTCCTTCCTCTCTCTCGGGTGATCGCTCAGGGACAAATACCCTCACGTCACTCGGTGCCGAGGTCTAGCCCAGAGCAGCGCAGGGCCCGGGCACGTGACCCGCCCGCAGTCCTCGCGGTGGCCCGCGGCCCGGGATGCAGTCGCGCTGACGTCCTCCTGGTTACCCACAAGCCTCTGTGCCCTGGTGCGGGCAGGAAGAGGGCAGACGGGTCCAGCGCCTGCCCAGGAGGTCGGGGTGCCTTCTGAGCCGGACGCGAACGCTGCCCGGCACCCCCTAAGCCCCCCAGTGCTTGCAACCTGGCAGCCTTCCGTCTCTCAGCGGGGCAGCAGGGGAGACTGCCAGCCCTGGCTCAGGCTCTCCTCCTAAAGTGCAGCCCCCTGTCGGGACGCCGGGGGCCGGGGCGCTCTGCTGACAGCTGTCAGAGTGACAGCGACTCCCGAACCCGAGCACTCCCCGCTCTGCGTAACCGCGTCCGGCTCCTTAGGGTCTTCCTAACGTCTAGGAATTGTAGAGCAGGGCCACTCGCGTACCATATGGCGTCTAGTACGTGCTGCCGTTTAGTAAGTATTAGCCCCGCAGGCCCGACCTGGCCGCCCCTCCGCACCAGCCCTTCCTGTCCCTCTGCCTCATCGCCTGCGGTCTCGCGTCGGCTCCAGACTCTCGCGCGCCCCTCCTCTCGGCGGCTGACGAGCCTCTTCCTCCTTCGCTCCCAGTGCCCGGGCTCAGGACTGCATTTCCCGGCAGGCGTCGCGGCCTGTGGCCAATGAGAGACCTAGGATTTGGCGGCGGCGCCGCCGAACGGGGCGGGGG